TTTCTAGGCAAAGGTCCAAAAGATCAAGTAAGGCAGGTGCAGGAACCTTCGTTTCATAGCTCTTCAGGGCTTCCTCTGTGCATTGCCTTGCTACATCAAGGGGTATGATGGTCGAAGGAGACCATTATCTCATCATCGGAGACCGTGATTCCCCTTAGTTTCTGTAGAAAGTCCGTAGAGTTCTGAATGGAAGTCTCACAATCTTTCGTAAGTGGATGAAGTTGTGGGCACGTTGTACGAATTTTAGGCCGAACTGTTCACCACAGAGCTAGAATAACAACCTTAAAAATCTAAACGGTAAACGGCTCTACTTAAAACATTTACTGAAATTGAAGTAGGTGCTAGGGAAAATATCGAAATGTGGTTTGTTATTGAGTGCGCAACCCTGAGGTGACAGTTCTTTATGTGCCTCTTCAGAGTCACTTTTAAAAGCTGTGTGTAAATGTATATAGGTTAACGTAGTGTAAACTATTGACAAAAGAGGCCCTAGCTAATATCATGAACAGGTGTTACCTTCCCGATATTGTATCACGGCGGGACACGCCTGCCCCGGTTCTGCCGTTAATTGGTCGCCGCATTTTCACGGGCTAACATTCAACGCCCTTTGTGTTGCATTTTAAACGGTCATAGTTAAAGCCTAGGTCCGCCCGCATCATGCCACAATGGCTAAGGATATTATTGTAACATTAGTCGGAGTGATACTTTTTCTACCCTTGCTGGCCTAGCGGTCATCACCATTACAAGAAAAAAAAATGTTTACAACGAACAGTATTAGTAGGACTTCTACCGCGACAACTTCTTGTCACTGGCAAGATACTAGAAGAAGAATGCATGAAGTCAGGGCGTCCTACGCAAAATTGACGAAAGTTCCACGTATTTCAACACTATTGTTATTTGTACGAATAGAACTGCTACTACTAAAATGTATGGTGCTGTTACTATTGATACTTCATTTAGTACTTCCACGACTTATACTACTAAATGTTTCAGTTCAACTAGTATTACTAATGTTAATACTAATACACCTAACACTAATCTATATACTACGATTGCTTTTGCTTCTACTAGAACCACCACTTATACTGCTACAAATAGTTCCCTTTCTATAACTATCAACACTACTACTACTACTACTACTACTATCACTGCTAAAATTAGTAGGACTAAAACTTCAACTGTTTCCCTTCTACTGCCGCTACTGGTATTACTACAACTATATTTACAACCATTAGTGTTGTTATTACTACTGCTGCCACCAACAATACTGCTATCAACACCTATAGCACCATGGTTTGAATGAATCCATTGCGCTAATACAAAAACCGAAACCCTGAACCCTGGTGAGATTTAAAATGAACAGGCGGCTGTAGAATGGTTAGCAGAGTAAGGAATAAAAACAGCACAGATGTAAAAATGGCAAGCTCTTAAGATTTCACAATAAACCGTGTTTTATGGTAAGGATCCCATGAGCATTCTTAATAAGGCAATCATTTAATCTGCGGTGGTAGTAGCAAACGTCAGTTATGCATATAGCTGTGGCGAAACTTGTTTTCGCTGTCTATCTGAAAACCGACTGCGTAATGGTGTGGGCAACAGGCGATGGCACGAAAACAATTGCACCCAGGTGCTGGCCTTCACATCAGCATTCGCTTACTCACGTTTCTCCGTACCTCGGGGAAGTGCACGGGTTTAGGAGGAAGTTTTGTTCAAATAATACTCGCCAGCGTAGGGAAAATATACGCCTCCCGGGGCATTCTACCTGTTTCAATGGAGAAACTTTACGATACACAAGGAGCGTGAATAGTGCGTGTTTTTGGTAGGAACTTTGTATAGAAAAAATCAATAGCGGTGACGCTGTCTAAACAGTTTACGGGGAATAACCAAATGCCATGTGACTGGGATTTGTGCAATGGATGATTCTAAGGATCTGACAGTCAGAATACAGTAAAATATCTGTCAGACGAAAAGGTGAGTTTTAAAATGTTTTACAATCCGGCATGGGACGACCTCAACCATTTGAACAGCACACATTTGAGTCTCATCTATTTAAACAGTAACTGCTCAAAGATTCTGCAAAAATGATTTATTTTTTACTGTCAAGTTTAGCCAACTGCCTACTGATTGGGCATAGGTTTTGAATCAGTTAGAACCGAGCAGGGTGTAATATCTCCGTTTAACATCATTCTTATTGCCGTTTACGGGATTTGAGTAGAGGCTGCATGCAGCATCATACTTACAACGCAGATAATGAATTGAAACCCAGAAATGCTCGATTCGTTGTTATTCTGTCGACAAGTGCTGGGAGAGAGGCCTGTTTTCGCTGTCTACCTAATAAAAACGTTGGCTTGTGCCAGGTCCGGGTAAAGAGGTCGGCGATAGCCAATGGCACAAAAACAATTCCAATCAGGTGCTTGCCTCTGCTGGCGTGTGTTCTTTCCCACCATGTCCCGTATGTGAAGAAGTGTAGCGGTTTAGGAGAAGTTGCTGTTTGAATCATTTTGTAACAGCGCAGAGAGTATATTAGCGGAAAACGTCTGGGAGCAATATGCCTGTTTTAATGCAGACAATTTATGATACGAAAGGAGCGTAAATAATGCGTGTTTGGGTGGCCAATCTGCATAGAAGCAATCACTTATAATAGGTCGATGCTTGGCACAGTCGCGAGGGGTCGGATGCCCTATTGGGTTTCCTGTAAGCCCTTAAGGAGTTATTTCATTTTCGGATTTGTTATAATATTTACTTAAGAAAATATTCACTGGACGACTGCAGACCTTCAAATATGGTTAATTGGTCCACATTTTCCAACTCATCAAAGCTTACTAAACACAATCGAACGAAATGTACGCAACTCTAGTGTCATATTATTGGAGTCCACGAGTAACCATGACTAATCTGAGCGTATGCAGCTGCAGGCAGTCAAATTTAGAGACGCAAAAATGCTTTTCTACGGTGAAATATCTGCCATTTTTGCAAAGATTAATAATAGTTAGTTAGGGACTATATACGCAATTTCAGATAATATCTGATGGCTCTATGTTTTCTCATGTAAAATTGAAAAATGAGCTTCACACGAATAATTGATAAAAACCTTAAATGTTTTACTTTGAATGTGTTGTATAAATGCACAATATCGTTCAGATAATATGGAGGGACTCAACTAAACCTATTTTTGCAGAACGCTTATGTAAAACGGAATAATGTGCCCGATTGGCGTCTTATCTATTTAGGAATCGCCTGTAGCACTTTTAAGAATTGCTTTAATGGTTTGTGGTTCTCAGTATCACTCACCTTCCTCCACCTTCACAGATATCGGATGTTCATTAACATCGCTTTGCAAATGCTCTCGTTGTTTTCGAAATCCCAATGGCAGCCTTAACATTGACACCAACTCATTCAACAATATGTTAATTGAGACGGGAGGAATATTTTAAGGGAAGTGAACAACATCCAACGTTCTTCATAGTCCTTCCCAGTTTTTTTATGACATAAATGATATGTTCTGTTCTGCTTCCGACGTATAATCGGTCATGTATCTGGCCCCATTACAAATTTTATTTAAACCCTATAAGTATGTGAAATAAATGATGCCGAGTTTAAAACCTATGAAAAACAGTTGATAATGCATGACCGTATACGTACTATGTAAACCGAAAAACTTGAACTATTTCATCACCAATGATACTTTTAGAGTTATCAATTTCCTTAGTTCTATATTATGTTCAAGAAAACGAGATGCTTTCGTTCCAGTACCTACTCGTGGTTAAATTACATGTGAACACAACTCCCCGCATCATAACCATTCTACACCGAACAATACCGAGCCATCGCTCTGACTCGAAACAATTGGAACGTACAGGCCCGTTGAAGAGTTGCTGGAAACATATGTTTGTCAAATCGACTTCAAAATTACAGATGGGAATATTTGCATAGCAAAGCGTTGACTTAAATTTTCCGAAAAAATAACTATCGCTTACATGAATAGCATCAGTCTACTTAAGAGTTTAAAGACATCGAATAAAATTCTATATGAATATTGTGGACATTCGTTATCCAGGGCAGCTAGATAACTGCGTAATACTCATTGAACTGAAAAATAAATGCAACATACGCATATCGATATAAAGCTTTCAGAATCATGGATATATGCCAAAAGACACGGTTATGAACTGAACTCCGTAAGCCGTTTTTACTGCGAAGAATAGCGACAAAAACCTGTCCGAGGTTCTATTTTTTGTCTGTCCTCTCAATTTGACGGATCGTGAAAATCCTATAAATTTTGAAATTATTGTCCATAGCGTGTGCAAAAGTGGTACCTTAGAAGATTTCCATCACACTGGTGTTCACTTACTTATAAACCTAGCTTGGTTTAATTGTGAGCGTACAAATATACCTCTTTTACCTTGAGTAAACTTTATGTCATATAACTACAAACAACTAAACATTCCGTTGCTGTTTAAATATATGCAGTTTTCTATTTTTGACGCCCTATTGTGTTAACCGCCCTCGAGGAAATATATAATGTGAGCACTAGTGTGTACCCTAAATATCGACATAATTATGATGGGTCTTGGATATAGATACACTTAATACACTGTCAGACTTATTAATCTCGATGAAGGCACCTAAAGAACAGGGGTCTGCTCAACGAACATAAGTATCTGCAATGCAGGCGGGAAGTTCTGGAGCAGCATACACTTCAAGTTTGAGTCTGAAAAATAAAACCCTAGATAACATGGCATAATGCAATAAAGCTGCCCAACCTTTGAACCCTTTTCTTACACATCAGCATCTCGTGAGAAAAATTAAGAATACATAAACAATGAAAACAGTCCTTAGTCCTCACATGGGTCAATATGGTTATTGTGTGGCGAGTGCGCGGTTTTTATTTGTGGATGCAGGGCAGACACGAACCAGTAAGTACACCCGATCGAGCGGAAGCGCTGAAGATGACATATAAAAGCAGAGGGTCAGTGTAGCTGCGTTCCACTACTCAGATGAATATGAGAAGCGCTGCACTTCGCCATCTGGTCCTCCCTTTGGCACTGCTGGTCTTCACTGCTAAAACGTATGTTCGTGTTCACTGTGTATGCTCCCTCAATTACCAAAAAGGGTTAAACTTTTATAAATTAGAAGTGTGTCCTTTTAGGGAGTAAAACGGTTTGTAGAGTGCGGCTCAGAATTCATGCAACATACCGACAAAAGTGAAAGATTGATACTCACTAGATAAAATTCACTGAGTAAGGTTGTAATACTGATTACGATATGGCCTATTCTCAATTTATTTCAGTCATGATTGGATGCCGGCTTTTTAAGGCATTTAATTTAAAAAAAATGGTTTCTTAAATAGTATGGGTTTTTATACTTGATTTTGTTTGCCTTTATAACTTCAAATATAATTTATGGAAAACACACACAAAAAAAGTCTTTCTTATAGTCGTTTAGTAGCAAATTGCGCATTCCTTAAAATTCATATTTTCGGCGTAAAATTGCCAAATAATTTCGGAACTTATTGACCGCTAGACCTAAATTGAATTTGTACAAACTGCGCGCTGGGTATATCCTAGTTAAGGTAAAGCACGTTTTTACATACGGTTTGAGGAGGAAATTAGATACTTCACTTCAAGTGTTGCAATAAATGTGGATCATGCCGTATGCATTTGAGGCAGCGTTAATAGAAAGACGGATATGATGTATCATGAATGAGCACCTAAAAATTCTACATTTTAGCCATTGCTTGAAACCGAAGGATGCCCTCTCTTGAAGTATAAAATTTAAAGAAGGCGTGATTCGCAACTAAACGTGAACAATAAAGAGATATTCCGTGTAATTTTTCTATAAAAAAAAACAGTTAAATTTATGAAAGAGGTCAATGTCAATGGTAAAAAATGCATACTTCTTGAGTAGCTATATCTTGCAGTACAGTTTTTAGCGGTCAGAAAGAAGCTCCTTTAAAAGACTGCATCCCAGCATGATTGATGTGGCCTGTGAATAGGCTGCACAATAGTCAGTATTACAGGATACTCAATGCTGTTTAGCGAGTGATTAAAAATATTACGCATTTGTCGGTATTTTCCACGAAACCGGAGCCGTAGAAAAGACTGAGTGGAGATGTTCTTTCAATAAGAATTTCGCTTATTGGTTTATGCCAGTATTGACGACCAAAAGTGGCATTGGTTTTACCATAGGTGTACGAACAGCTACAAACCGTACAGTTTATTCCAATGTTAATTGTTTGGTTTATAGACACGCGGTGGGAATCTGCGACTGGGACCAGCGGACATTCACCAAGGAGATGGGTCAAACCACTTTCCGCACTGTCGTCAGTTGGTATTATTCGGTAAGGTGTCGATTTTCCATATTTCACCAACTAAATTTGTTTTTGGCGGCGCACACCATTAAGTCCTAAATTTCTACCATTTTAACAGGGTGGATACATTGGCCACAATGAATTTATATACAACAGAAAACGCCTAGGCTGCTTTATTGGTACAAAACCATTTTCATGTTCGAATGTTCATGGTATGTTATCTGAATGACGTCTATTTTATCTTGAACAACACCACTGATATATTTTTACATAATGAATCCTAACCACGATGATTTGCCTTTTTACCATATCATACAGCTGGAAACGTAATGCTAACGGATATAATAGTTCCCTGGCTAAAAAACGTCGACAGCATATACATTAAGAGCAGCTACCCCATGACAATTCATAGGATTGAAGACTACGTGCAGGACAAGACTGACAAAGGTTCGTCAGTAAGACACTGAGGCCCGATCTGCATATTCCTACTTCACTTCTTATTTGAAACGTTGACGTTTCCAAACATTAGTGGTATTTCTTCTTCAAAAAATTTCAGATCGGTTCATTGTTGAAAAAAGCATGCATTTGACCAGATGCCCCCCATATAAGAAAACAAAATTGGTTTGGAAATTTCCCGGAACCGTGGAGAGCAGAGCAGCAGTAAGTGGTTTTCTAATTGCCGAAACAGAACAGCCCCATTTATTGGTCCACATACACAAAGAACTTGTTTCACATTCCCTAGTTTCAATGCTTCCGGGAGGATACCGTATTGT